AAATGGCTGCCATGTCCCAGGAACTCTAACTATAGGACAACAGCCACGTTTTACACATCTGATGCTTGACTGCCTCCCAGTGGCTGTAGCTGGAAGTGCATGCAAAACCTCTAATCACATCGGATGTCTATTGGTAACTAATCAATAAACGTTTATTATTATTTCATCAAGTTTTTTTCTATTTAACCCGGCAGACCGGCAGACTCCCAGCAGCCATTTTTATGATTAAACAATGTTTAGTGTATTGTTCTGGGGGTGGGGCTTACTTATAGTGACTAAATAGGTGTAATTTTTATTCTCAGAAAGTTAAAGAAGGGATCTGGTTGGTTAGAATGAACTAAAGCTCCACCCATGATCCCGCTTGTTTTCCCTCCATTGTTTTTAAAATAAGCATCTTCCTTAAAGTGTGTGTCACCTTAGAAGAGTCTACATAGCCCAGGACTGGGCTGAACTATAGGCTTGTGAGGTGGCCACCTCGGGCACTGCTGAGTGCAGTGGAGGGGGGGTGGCAAAGTAACATCCCCTATAGCAGGGGCAGCCAAACTCCAGCCCTTCAGCTGTGGTGAAACTACAAATCCCATGATGCATCTCTCTCCGGGAGTGTTGTCTGTGGCTGTGAGAATCATGCAATGCCTGATGGGATTTGTATTTCCACCACAGCTGGAGGGCCGGTGTTTGGCTACCCGTCCCCTATAGCCACAGTTCTAATGGGCAGTCACTTCTTCTCTTTAAGCTTCCTGTCCACTGAGAGGGCGGAGGCTAAGAAGTGTGACAACACTTACTGGAGGGAGCACAAAGTAGTTTGTATCATCAGAGTCTGTGTCAGAGGTTAGTCCATTGGTAGGACCTCAGCACTCCAGCTGTATGGAAACTACAGTCCCAACATGTCTCTACCTCTGGGAGTCATGTCTGTGACTGTCAATCTTGCAATGCCTCATGGGACTTGTAGTTCCACCACAGCTGGTGTGCAGAGGTTGCCCACTCCTGGGCTAGTCAAATTGAACAAGTAGGTGGGTCAGAAAAGGTTGCCACACATTTATAACTTCACCATGGGTGTTAGAGGACCTTGTTCTGGCACTGACCGGTCCTCCCGGTTCTTATTTTGGGACTACAGAACAATCAGTGCCCATGCTTTAGAGTTGAAGACAGTAGAAGTGGTTGAGTAGTTTAGCAAAAGACAAGTGGGCAGGGCTGACACCACACATAAAGAAGATGCCTGTTAGGAGATTGCAGGTGTATGGTTGGATTTTTTCACTGATTTCTTTTTGTTTTTTTGCAGGCAGTACATTGAGGGAGAGACCCAACTCCGCCATCTACCCCTCTGAAAGCATCCGACATTCCCTGCTAGGATCCCGGCGCGGGCGGCCATCTTTATCCCTCTCTAAGAGTGTCTCCACCACCAACATAGCCGGGTGAGTCCTCCTTATCTCTGCCTGTGCTCTCCAATCAGGACAGAACTACCCACCACCACTTGCTGCGATCTTCAGACCAACCAACCTTTTCCAAGATTGTTTACTGACCAACAAAATGGCTTCTCGGACGATCGAGTCTGACTGCAATGCCCATGATGCGTTTCTTTATCAAAATGCTAGTAATGAGAACTGTCTGTGTTGGCAGTTATGAGATTGAAGCATTCCCAGGTGTGGGATGAAATCTTCCCATGGTCAGGGAACGCAGCCATAGAACACTATGATGAATGTGAATACTCGCAGCACTCTGTGTACCTGACGGGTCTGTAACATGTGTTCTGTGTGCAGGAATCTGAATGATGAAAGTCCGCTGGGCATAAGGAGAATCTTGTCGCAGTCCACCGACTCCCTGAATATGAGGAACCGAACGCTGTCTGTGGAGTCCCTCATTGACGAAGGTACGGAGGGGGAGGAGCTTATCATATGAACTCGGCACAGATACAAACTATGGCAGCTCTGTAATCAATATAATATTTGTTTAAATGTCTTTATTCAAGGCTTGTATTCTAGAATCATAATATACAATATAAAACATTACCC